CGAACGGTGATCTCTTCAAGGAAGCATTAATGCCGAGCCCCTATCCTGAGGCAGACAGACGAGATGAACCCTACATCCTGCAAACCGACGCAAGCAGCTATGCTCTAGGGGGAGTATTACTACAAGGAGAAGGCGCCGACGAAAGGCCGGTAGAGTATGCAAGTCGCCTATTGACTCCGGCTGAAAGGAATTACAGCACCACGGAACGCGAAGCACTGGCGGTGGTATGGGCCGTTAACAAGTTCCGTGGGTACATCGAAGGGGCCAAGATAACGGTAGCCACCGATCACAGGCCTCTAAAATGGTTAATGACCCTACAATCGCCCAGTGGTCGACTGGCGCGATGGGCATTACTACTGCAGCAGTACAACCTGCAAATTGACTACACCCCGGGAAGGATTACGTAGTAGCAGACACGTTGTCCCGACCGAACATCGAAAATCAAGAAGTAACATCCGCACGGATTGGATTGGTTTCAATCAATTACCCAGCAGAAGTGCGGCCGAAACAAGACGGGGTCAATTTGAGGACAAAATTGCAAGAAATAATCAATGCGTTTTGAAACGACCGAAGACCGGCAGGACTACCAAAGGTGGACAGAACGAGGATACCTAATGTATCAAGGGGTATTATACAGGTACAATCCAGACTCTGACGCGGAGGAAACCACAGCTGGTAGTCCCGGCACAGGGAAGTTAAAGATATTCTGCACGAATACCACAACGCCTCAACTGCAGGACACACTGGTATTGAACGACAATAGGACGAATCAGCCAAAAGGTACTATTGGACAAGCATGCGACGCGACCGTGACGGCTCACTTAAAGGATTGCGTGGAGTGCCAGCGGTACAAAGCCACGAATCAGAAGCCGGCGGGATTGATACAGACACCGCCGCTACAACAAAGGTTTGAAGTCATCGCCATAGACCTATTTGGACCTCTACCAGCGTCGGAAGAAGACCTGAAATGGATATTCATCGTCGAAGACCCAACGACCAGATGGGTGGAGCTCTTCGCACTGAAAAATGCAACAGCTCAAGAATGTGCGAAAACACTAGTGGATGAAGTTTTCTTGCGGTTCGGGTTCCCAAGAAGGCTTATCAGTGACAACGGATCTCAGTTTGTGAGTGCAGTCATGCAGCACACGACGCACTGCCTAGGGATCAAACAGCACCTTATTCCGGTGTACCACCCACAAGCCAATCCAGTGGAGAGACGCAACCGCGATCTAAAACCTCAACTAGCCATCTTAGTGGGTGAGAAACACACGACTTGGCCAGGGAAGTTACCTGCGATAAGATTCGCGATGAACTCAGCCATATGCAAGAGTACGGGGTATACCCCGGCATACTTAAATCTGGCGCGCGAACTTCGAACAACAGACGATGTCTACAGAGATCTCAGGGCGATCATCGAGAAAGAAAACCCCATACCAGACATCACACCGTATCTACTTAAGATGGCTGACACTTTCAAACAGGTACGAGAGACCCAGAAAAGCAGCAAGATATGAGAAAGAAATATGCGGACAAAGAACGGCGGTCTGGTCAAGCATACAGTCCAGGAGACAGAGTATGGGTAGCCACGCATACACTGAGCAACGCGAAGAGAGGTTTCACGTCAAAACTCGCTCCACGACGCGACGGACCGTATATCATATTACAACAGAGAGGACCTACCAGCTATGAAGTAGGACGCTCTGATAATACAGACGAAATCATAGGCACATTCCACACATCTGCCCTATCACCTTTCTTAGGTAATGAAAACATCATACCTGTGATTCCGATAAGAAAGCGCGGTCGACCCAAGAAGAGGACTACGACCCAATAGAATGTTTTATGTATGGACTCTCCGCCGGGACGACTGTAGGTCCATAGGGGGAGTCTGTAACATTCTATATTTAATTAATATTAGTCATGTAACAATTATTATTTTAACAAACATTTCGTAATATATTTACAAACATTCGAAATGTATTTACAAAATATTCGTAATCTATTTACAAAATTCGCTGTACGTAAATATTTTGTCAACAACGCACGAGAATACGCGTGACGTCACCAAAGAGAAAGTTTACACATACCACTATGAGCATAGGGTCCTACGCGGAAGCAAGATGCAGCATACACACTAGCGCAGGTACAACAAGGATAGAAGATTCTACTACGACTACGCACGATCCCGTTAGACCTCAGGCGTAAAGACAGAAAGGGACGAAAACTTGTGCAAACCGTGTCATCTGTGTAAGCAAGCGATAAGATGCCTTAATCCATGAGCAAAGCTAAGTTAAAGAAAGATAAAAGATTAAGACGATGATACATGCAACTTTGCCCTGTGACTCAAGCGAGGGTGTGAGAAAGATAATCATATGTACACATTCTACGTCACCGAAGGAGAAATTTGTCTTAGCCAATTATCGATGACCTCAAGCGAGATGAGTTCATCATAGACCAATGACCGTCTCATCCCCCGAAGATTTTGGCGAGATGAACCGACGACGACCTCCGAAAGGATACGAAGGAACCACCACCCTCGCCAAGAAATCAACCCCACTACAGGAGTAGGAGAAGCTCAATTAGTATATAAGGTCATAGAAAATTAAGAAATTTGTCAAAAGTGTTTAGTCGCGTTTGCCCTAATACCTTAAGGAACTTGTTCTGACTGCATCAGCAAACTTAACAAGTTGGCTTAAGATATTAGAATTATTTTGTTAAGATTAACAAAAACGGTTGAAAAGTTATTAAGTGTAGATACATTTAATACTTTTCTAGTGATTTTGAATGCAGAAGCATTTAAATAATTTTGGACTTAGTGATTTTGAATGCAGAAGCATTTAAATAATTTCGGACTTAGTTGAATGCAGAAGCATTTAATAATTTTTTGAACTTTGTGAATTAAATGCGGAGGCATTTAAGTCGAAAGCTGTGTAAACTCTTAGTGTAATAAAGTAACTCTGACTTTGTTAATTTTACTCTTTGTGTACGTGTAGCATAACTGACTTAGTGACTATATATATTTATATCTGTTCTTTCCGTATTCTGTACCTACATACCCGAAAATAAAGTGACGGTAGTGTTGAAACTGTGTTCATTCATTGATTCTAACCCTACCCCATTACAAACTGGCGCCCAACCGAGTGGCCAGAAACGGAAAAATGGCAGTTACCATGTCAGAAGAGATGTTGCAGCGACTGATCGGAGTGATAAGCACACAAAACACAC